ATTGTAAATAAGCAATTATCGACCCCTATACGATTTCTTCTAGTACCGATAAAAGCTTCAAATTGCTTAAGGACCCTCTTTCTGATTTTCCTCTCCAGTTGGTTATTTGGGATCATTTGCACCTAATGGTCTGCACATTAAATTTGATTAGCAGCAACTCCCTAATTGTAGTTGATTTTGCGACCAAGTAAGAAATAACATTTCCCTCTGCTTCTTCTTGCCAGCGCGAGGGTATCTTTATACCATTTACGCATTATTTGCGAATTTTGATTTCTTCCCTTTGCAAATCGTCGAATTGGCGATGCCCATCAAAATGCGTTTAATGACAAATTGAGTGCCAAAAAAAAAAAAGTCAAAGAAAAAAATACAAGTTCGGACATCCAGAGATATCATCAAAGAGGCGCAGTTAAGTAATTTAAAGCGCACGATCTGAGCAAAAAAAAAATTGCAGAAACCAAAAACAAGAGCAAAAAAATATTGAAAAGGATGCGAAGGTAATCTGCATATAAAAGACAGCAAAGGACAAAACCTTTTAAACAACCAAGGGACATGTAAAGGGTGTCGAAGGGGGTGTCAGAGAAGGTGTGACACAGGGGAAACAGGTTACAGAGCTAAAGAGAAAGAGAGAGGCAAGGCTTGAATACAGTGAGTACACGCTAGACCAAAAAATCAGAGTGAATTATATAGTGTTAACAGTCTATCTCCAATATTTCGTTTAAGCGTATAAATGAAAAAACTTCTTTTTTTTCAATTTGTTATGAAACTAGTTCTTTATTTTTAAGACTTCATTCATAGAATATAGGACTATCTAAATTTACAAAAAGAGCAGAAAAAACATTCTGGGTAACAGAGAACATTCTTGACAACCAATGGAATCTTCAATGATATATTGTTATTTTAAGTCATTTGTTGCTCTTAAAACAACTTTGAATAATCCAACAACAACAACAAAAAATAATGCACATTTCTTTGTGCTCTTCGTAAACAGAATTTTGTCCTATTCAGTGCTGTCAGTCGAGCTGTCCATTAGTGCCAGTTTTCACTGTACTTCATTGTATTGGAGTTGGGTTTGGAACGACTTGCACGAGTAATTGACGCCTGCATGCAAATTGAAAAACAGTCCAGAACAGGCGCTACGCATGTAGCAGGATGCATGGCGGAGGATGCAGTCGATGCTATGAACAAAGGACCAGAAGGTGGAGACCATGGAGCCAGAGTCACAAGTTGTGGTTGGGGACTGATTGAGCGCCAGGTTGATGCATTTTAAAACAAATTGGCACAGTTTGTGCGCATTGGACAGTGTGTAGAGATTGTTGTAGTTGTTGTTGCTATTGTTGTTGCCTTGTTTTGTCACTCAATTAGATGCAACTCATTTAGTGGACAAAGCAGATTTTGGGAGCGTGTGTACAAAATGTTAATCAAAGCCTGATGACTTTTTTAGGCCAGATAATAGGACACAGTGGGAGAGACACAGAGGGCGAGAGATGATAATAAAGAGATGGGGGGCGTGGCCTGGCGTGGCGTGCCGAACAGTCGCTCCAATTATGATATGCAAAATTTATGCATGGGAAAATTCAAAACAAACGAACAACAAACACAACAATGACAAAAAATGCGACAAAAATGAAAATGTGTGCGCGATGAAAAATCAATACAAATTAGCTGTGAAGCAATTTGTTGTTGTTGCTGTTGTTGTTGCTGAACTTGTGTTGCATATGTGGCATATAGAATTTTGTCACATTATTTTCAGACCACAGTATCGCGATTTCACAATATGGTCACAGGAAACTTTATTTGGGTACTAATTAGTAGGTGAGATAGAGAGAGAAAGAGAGAGAGATAGAAAGACAGAGAGAGAGAGAGAGTAAGAGAGAGAGTGAGAGTGAGAGATAGAAAGACAGAGAGAGAAAGAGAGAGAGAGAGAG